TTCTCCGGAGATTCAGGGCGGCTTACAATGCGTTAAGCAATAGCCTTCATACTTTTGTATATACCTGCTTAGTAGGGCTTTCGGGCCCCCCTAAGCGGTGTTCTTTTTTATACAGTCAGCTTATTGCACCCACAATCCGGATCATTTTACCTACATCGAAAGGATGGAAGGCTGAGTCAACCTTGAGCCTGGTGAGATTTGAACTTGCAGTAATTGCAGGCAGCTGGTGCTACTTAACAGCACTTTAGTCTGCTGCGCCACCAAGGCTCTTCCAATTAAGAACCATTATGTTATTATTTTGTTAATATTTATTTTTAGGTGCTACTGCTTCTCTTATCTCTAATCCTTAACAATACCAAAGAAACATACTTCAAATCTGCAATACCATTGTACATCCCCGGAGCAGGTAAATTTACAAATCAAACACACAAGGATAGTAACTGATTAATAACATTTTACTGAGACCTGTGATTTCTACATTATTTTCGCTTAGGATATTATACATTGATTATCATATGCCTGCTTTTAAAACAGTTTTCTACAGAAATATGATAGAAAGCTCATTACTTCAGTGTACTTGAACAAAAATAATCTAAACCCATACAATAGTACTGTCTCAAGAATGAAAAAAAAAATTATTTCTGGCGAGGAATTATATTAAGTGTGCAGTTCTAAACAAATCCTTCCAAAGTAATTTGTGCAGCTGTTCTGCAAGCGACTTCTTGCTATGGCATTGCTACTTACCTTTTCAAGAGTCAACTTCCTCAGCAGTGGATGTTGAAATTTCAAGCACTACTGCAAAGAAATCAGAGTCCAACATTTTGTAACATTGGTCAAATGTAGCTTTGCTACAATCCACTAAAGGTTAAACATTCTTATGATTTTTACTAGAATGATACATTAGTAAATAAGTAGCAGTAGTACAGTAACAGTAGTGAATCTGGGATGTGAGGTTTTTATTTAAAACTTTCTCTCCAATTTCAGCAAAAGCAGTTATAGAATGGGTTGTGTGTAACACTTCTTTCAGATAGAATGGTAGTCATTTTCACCTTTTAAAAAAGCCTGAATGAATTATAATAGTTTTACTCTCCCACTTTCAACGATTCTCCAGACCAATAATTATTTTGCATGCATGTTACATTCAAGCCAAATTTTGCTCTTTGTAAAGAGATAGTTATATCTTTGTAATCATAATTCTGGAAATTATGATTTTTAGCTGCCCAGAATTACCGAGTGGTAACATGAGTGGGTAATAAATTTTATACATACATACATAAATAAATAAATAAATAAATATCCTCCCCCAAAAACCCCCCCACAAAAACATGAAACTTCCATGAGAAGTTGATCGACAGATAGTCAATTAAGAGAGTTATACAAAAGAAAGAAAAATAAGTTTTCTGTTGATACTTTTTTTTTCTCTTGACATGTATGTGCTGCACAATCTCTTGTGTTTTGAGAATCTTGAAACTGGACATTTCACTTATCTGATACGTTAATCCAGGATTTATATCCAATATTGAGATTCTCACGAGGATTTTAGTTTCCTTGTCCTATGATTATTTTTCACTATGCTCTATGGCCCAAGGCCTAATCCAACTCATTGGAGTTCTAGTAAAAGTTCTTGACATGAGAAATTTGAGTTAATCTTGCATTGACCAAACATACCCCTCTAAATTCAATCTGGAATACTAATACATTTTTCTAGAGACCAGGGGATCCCATGAGATGCAGGGGAGAGCAAAGAGGAATTCTCTGCATGAAAAATGTACTCTGTCCATTTGTAGTATGTAATCTGTAACTAAAACCCAACCATTATTTTGAATGTTAATCTGTACATTCAGTACTTACCGGTTATGATTAAAGACAACTACTGTAGCCACTTGATAACAATTAGAGAACCAGCATTAGCTCTCTGAATCAAGTTTTATTAGCACATTTAACTGTTCAGTATATTCAGTAAAAGGAAAAAAAGCAAAGCTACATTGAGCCAATTAAATCAGCCGTCCCTTTCAAATATTAATTTTTAATTAACTATTATCATCAGTCTAGTTATTAATCCTGATATTGAGAAGGAATGACTAATAGCCTGCCAAAAAATCAGCAGACCCTTTTTTTCAGATAGATAACTCTTTGCCCCTCCTCCTCATTCTTTTGCAACGATTGTTTTGGTTAATATAAAAGTTCCTTAATATCAAACTACTAATCCATCTGATCATTTTCAAGTTAGGAATTCATCAGTGCAAAATCCACAAGCAGGAAGCATTTTGTCTAGTTTTGTATGCATTTTGCTATTTCATACTGTATTGACAATGTTTATACAGCATCTTAATAAACTAAGTATGTTCTCCATGAAAGGAACTTAGCTACTATAAAAATGTTAAGTTCTGCTTTTATATAGCTGGATATATTTACATGTACCTCATCTTCCATTAGCAGGATTGAACTACATATATAAGCAATGTATTATTTCCATCCTTCACCATCATTTCAATTGTTAAAGAAAATGAAACTTACATTCATAAGAATTATAAAACCTGAATGATTTTTGGGAAATTTCTAACTTTGTTTTCAAGAAAAAAAAACCCACCTGAGCAAAACTGCACAAAGCATATCCAAAAATTTGCACACTCTATATCTTAATGATGTCCTCCAAGTATCCATGCTCAAATGACAATAGTATAAAATATAAGTATTCACTTTGTGGAAAAGGAGTTGTTTAAGGGAGCTTCAATGTCTCATATTGAAATATGAACTGGGACATTATCTGATAAACACAGAAGAGGTGTGCAAGTCATAAAAAAACCATGTACACAATAGGCATCTGGCAGCATTTTCAGACAACTTTTAAAATTTATTCTGACATGCTATAAAGGAATAAGTTACACTGTTATATGAATCACCAGCAGTAAGAATATTTTTCAGCTGGGTTGGAGTGAAAAGATAACCTAAGGCAGTAACCAGTAACCAATGTGAGAGGCTGCCTGAGACCAAGAGTAAACCTGTCATATTTGTGTCACAAGAACTTGAAAGAAAATTCTTCCTTTTTAATACCCTTCATACCCTTTCATTTTAAATCTGCAAAAAATAAACAGTCTAGCCAATGCAGAGTTATGGCAGGATTTTTAAGCTGTTGCAATGGGTCTGAAAAGATTCCTTTATTTTCATCTGATCTCTTGTTACAGCAGACTGGGTATCAATGCAACAGATTATAAAAATGCAAGAGTGCCCCTCCCCATCAGGAAAACAAATACAAAATTTATTTAAAAACAAAAGTGAGGAAGTGTTACAACACTAGATCTAAAATGATTAAGAAACAGGACTGTTGCTTTAACAAATGGTATTGTAACTGCCATTTTAAAAAAAGGTGGTGTCTAATTTAGTTTGCAAATTATCAAGGCAAATTAAAAAAAGATTCCTAATAGGAACAGTTTAGTTTTTAATGAACTTGTAAACAAAAATGCTCCCATTTCAAAATAAAAAACAAAATCCCAGATCTTCTAGATGTTTACAGTGATTACATTTATCTAAGCAACTTTTACATAGTTTCAGTTGGAGGATGTTAACTAAATTTGTGACAAATATGCTGTTTCTCCTTTTATACCAATAACATTATAGAGTTAATGCAAAGTCCTAAAGATAATCTAGTAGTCGCTAAATTTCTCTTAAGTCTTCACTTTAGATGCTGTTATTTCTATGCACAGGTAAGCAGGCAGAGTCTTTCATATGCTTAAAACTGGAATCTTTGGTTACTACCACAATAGCTGGCTTGTTACATCACTCAAGTTACCAGCAATTTTATGAATGTTTTAAGTGTACAACTTTCAGAACCAGGGAGGAATACCCAGGAGTGCACAATTGTGAGCATTTACAATTATCGCAACTGTTCTGAAGACTTGTTCATGCCATTCTTCCAAAATAATGAGATCTCATAAGCAGTGTAGTTCAAAGTAAAAAGGTTACAAAAATTGGCATATGCACAATTCTCTCCACCACTTGTGTGTCAACCACTCGGTTAATTTTTCCACTTGAAAAAATGCAATAGAAAACTGGACACCATGTTCAACTATCTCAGTAATATTCACAATTACAGCTGCTACAACTCAGAGATGCAGCATCAATGGTGCTGCCCAGAGCCAGTTTATACTGAAAGCAAGTTCTTTACATCAAGTAGATGGTTGCCCACAACCACTGGTATGTGTATTTATGAACTAAGATTTCTAGGATTTGGGAGGTGATACATCCTGCTCCATTCAGCTCTGCCTCATCTGTTCTCTTCTTCATGCTCAAAAACCTGGAAAACAAACAAAACACTTTGATATTTGGAAAGAGCCAACCAACTGAGTGGAAAATCTTAAAAGAGATTATGATTTCAATAGGAAAGAAATCTATTCCATTCGAAATTAGACTGATCTTCCACTTGATATCAGTGCCCCAAGGTTGAGTGTCCCATTTATGCACCAAGAGAAAAACATGCAAGAACCCTACTTTTCAGAGAAAACCGCACCCAGCCACCAGCTTTTTTGACAGGTCAACAATTTTAATTTGGCAGCCGTATCAAATTCCATGGAAGATCAATTATGCTCAGGCTGCCAATCATTGAGTATTTTTAGTTGCGGATCCTTTTGAATTAATTAAGTATACTTAAACAATTTTGCATATTGCCAGTTTCAAATACTGAATCACAAGTTGATCAAGTCATGGTTTAAATATTTAAAAACATGTCTTTTCACATGTCTTCTATGTGTACAGAAGAGAATAATACTCCTAATATATTTAACTAAAGGGGATATCTTTTTATAAACTACTTCAGATACACTATATAGATAATGTACAGCAGAAAAGTGATAAACTAAACCAGTTTACACTGCATATTAGTTCATCTGAAGTTGCCCTCATGAAATTAACATTTACAGTCCAAAATCAAATATATGTAAGTTGATAGTATAAGACAGGCACTAAGATTCACAGATAACAGTACAAAGTTGCCACATAGGCTGTTTGTTTGTATGCATGTTTATTTTCAATATACAGTCTGTACATGGAAATACATCTTCTATATATCCGAAATTGTAAAAGCATAGATCTTGTCATTCCAAAATGGCACATATAGGAGATCTACAGCATTATCCAGCTATTCCTAGAAAGAAGATTGATAAGCATGACAATTTTGTTACTTACAGAAGTTCTAGCCTGTTCGAATAACAACCCATTTTACTGGAACACAATTCCTCATCTAATACATGATCCAATTACATTTCAAGTTATATATAACTGAGATGAGTTACTTCACCTGCTTAATTAGTTCCAAAACAACAGCCTTAAAAATAATTGAAACAAATCCTATCGCCATTTAATGCTGTTGCTTAAAAATTACAAGAAAGTTACTGTTACATGGTTCAAGTTACTGTATCAAACAAATGAACCTAAAATTAGCCAAATGTATTATAATTGTTTCAAATTTCTAAAAAAGAATGTAGTCATTCAAAAAATCAATTATGTTAAGACTGCCAAAAGTAATATGTAGATGAAAACTACCTAAAAACAGTTGACATCTAGTAACTACATTCTCTGCAAGTGTACAGTTTGTTACTTTCCACCCAAAAGCCTCCAATCAACACTGAACTGCACTGCTGTGATATTACAGGAAATCTTTCATTTCTACTATTGAGGGAGAAATCTTAAAAGCATGAATAATGCAAGAAAGAAATGGAAAGCTAAGATAGGTTAAGAAAATTACATGGAAAAAATGGTTACTTTTGCTTTCAGAGTATGGTGTAAAATGCTTGTACTATCTTTTGTTAAAGAGCTGCAATCTCAATGGCTAAAGTACCAGACAGGATGAAAATATCTTCTGACCATTACCTGGAATTATAGGAGCAAGTCATTATACCTATATCTTCCACTCTACAATGCTGTCTTGGACGAATGTGTCTGGAAAATACATTACAACTTTTTCCATCTATTCAAAACTGTAGAGTTATCCTTTTCTATGTAACACTAACAGACATTCAATTAAAACTAACATATCTTCTTTGCTATGTCTGTTAAACTGAATATTGACCTGCCTAGCAGAAAGTGTTTAATAAAGAAATGTTAGATGATACTTTTAAGAATGATTCTAAAGAATGTTCTGCTTTATGTTACATATCAACACTGTGAAGGCTTTGAAAAAGAAAAGAAGCGAGCTCATTTTTTTCCCAGACTCATGCAGAAATAAGATACTTGACTGTCTCTAGTCTTTTTCCGTTGAGTCTAGGTCTCTAAAAATGGTATTTTTATCAGTAGAATAAAAGTAGAATCCTCTTTATAATTGGAGGATTTTTTATCTGTACAATTTATAGGTAGACTCTGGGGGTCTCATACCTTAAAAAAGTAGGAAAAGTATGAAAAAAAGAAATAAAAAATCACGAGTGGCCTCAGAGCAAATTTTTAAACACTTCACCCATCCAACCACATTGACTGAGAAGTATTTGAACTAGAGACTTCATACCAGTCCAGGATTCTCAACCCATAAACACATTTAAGGGCAGTTCGAACATGCTGCAACAACAATACTAACTCACTTTCCACTCTTGATCGTACTTGTAAAATACATTTCAAATGTAGGTTAGATCCTTTATTAAATTCTATCTTTTCCAGATTTGAGTTAGACGCTCTCCAATAACTTAAGCTGGTTATCACCGATAGAAAAAAATAAACATAAGCACTGTATCTAGGATACCAATGTCCTAGCAAAAAAATAAAATAAAAAATAATTTGTTTGGAAAATCAGGTATGGATGTTTCCATGACCATCTTGCCCAACTACATTCAGACAGCCAAAATAAATACTAGAACAATAAAAAATCAACTACATCCTCCTCCAAAACTATACATGAGGCTGCATCTAGTACATTCAGTACCTATTGCACTGGTATTTTAGAGAAAATAATACTGTGGTCAGAACAATTATTAAGTTCAATAAAGGGTGATGAAACCATTCCTTATAGCATATAAATAGTCCAGGTGTTTAAAGCAAAGTTGCAAAGCAGTACAGAATGCACAAGTCTGGAAAGGTATACACAATCATATTGCTACGACTCATAATGCCTTACAAAATATTCAAATCAGAATAAACTTAACATTTTGATTATTCTAGCTACTATGTGCATATCAATTTCCATCTGAGTGCAGTCCTTTAAAAAAGAGTGACGTTTTGCAGACTGGCAACTAAAATTAACTTTCAAATTAAAATTTGAAGTAGTTATCAGAATTCAGCCTTTGGAGTTTTTCTGGATATGTTGTTTATTTAATAGGTAAATCTGCATCCAATCAAGTACAGGTAGTCCTCGACTTACAACAGTTCATTCAGTGACTGTTTGAAGTTACAACCACTGAAGAAAGTGGTTTCTGACAGTTTTTCACACTTACAGCCATTATAGCATTTCCACAGTCACGTGATCAAAATTCCGGTGCTTGGCAACTGACTCATGATGGCTGTAGTTTCCTGATGTCATGTGATCACTTTTTGTGACCTTCTGAAAAGCAAAGTCAAGAGGGAAGCCAGATTCACTTAACAACTATGTTACTAACTTAACAACTATGGTGATTCACTTAACAACTATTGCAAGAAAGGTCGTAAAATGGGGCAAAATTCACTTAACAATTGTCTCGGTTAGCAACAGAAATTTTGGGCTCAGTTGTGGTCCTAACTTGAGGACTACCTGTACCATACCATATGAAAAGAGATACTGTAAAGAAAATTAAGGCTTTTAAATTAACTATTTCAAATAGATTATAGTATTAGTGTTGTTCCAACATTTTTAGTTAGCAATTCTTATTCATATAGTATACAAACAGCCTTTTTCATCTCCCATCTGATTTCTCATCCTTGGATGAACAATTTCTAAATAAGCAAAAAGTCTGACTTACCCACTGAAGTAGCAATTGTAAATTAATGCTTTGTATTTAAAAAGCTTTTAATATAACTCTATTATTTCTATTATCAGAATTCCTTTATATTGTCGTATTAATCTGCCCTAATTCAAAATTCCAATGGGGTTTTTCTATAGTCTTTGTGCCTCTGCCATAACAGAAGTCTAACTGTATGCATAACATTATAGAATAAGAAATATAATTTGTCTTTCCTTCTAACATATAGATATCAAGCAAGATGATCTTCTGGAGCACCATATTTTCTGGTGTTCTGTTCACTAAAACAAAAAGCCAACCAACCAACCAAAAATGGCATTAAAAAAACCCCACTGAAACATCTGAAAAGTGGACCCAGAAGTGGTGGTACAGGGAGAAAGGTCGGCATTCTCCTGGGCCTAGATGATTGATGCTTCTAGTCTTGTGGCAAGTTTCTGCATGCAGGGGGAACTGGGCTTCCTGCATGCTGAGGCAGAACCGCAATGACAAGAGCTCAGAGCAAGGCAAACACATGGGTGCCTTGCTTAAATGACTGCAGTGATTTATGACCGAAATTCCAAGCTCAATTGTGGCTGTAAGTCAAGGACTACATGCACTTTCACCCTTTCTACCATCACCTCCTTCCCCAAGATATAAATATTGTACTATTTGTTTTATGTAACACTTTCTCCTGCCTAACACAATCTCAATAAGTCTCCAACTCCAGCCCTTTTCCTTCTTCTCCAATATAATCCTTCCATTTGCAACTCCACTGGTGGAAATACCTTTCTTCCTTCTCTTCACCTCTATCCAATTAAGCCCTCTCGTTCCCTATTCCTACAAGATAAGATGTTTCTTTCAAATTTGTGCCATTTGAGAGGATTTTTTGGCATAGTTACTAGGAAAATATCTACTACCACTACTATTTACAATTTAGGTGATATTAACTTGTTTTAGCCTCATTTTCAATAAATTCAGACATTATTTAAGTAACGTATCTCTGAACAGTTAATTATACACATAAAATGCTGCTTTAAACAAGTAGAACAGGAATTTCAACCAAGTGAAAACACTCTGATTCGTAAACTGGAAAAAAACCAATTTCCTCTTTTCAAATCCCAAATTACTTCTGAATTTAAAATGAATGCAAAGAAAGAAAAGACTTTTCTTTAAAAGTTCAGAGAAAGAGGATACTGTTGTTAGATAACTGGATTATCATTTCAGTAGTCTGAAATCGAATGCAGGAGTATTGCTTTTAAAATTTTTAAAGAAAAAATGTTCCTTAAATAGATCTGACTAGGCATGAAATTAATTATAATTGGTATATTTTAGCAATAGCAATAGCACTTAGACTTATATACCGCTTCAGTGCTTTACAGCCATTTTGATGGGTTATTGCTGGCTATCCCTGTCATAAACAATTCTTTGTTAAAAATATTTCTCCTATATTGAATACTGAAAATAATGACAAGAAAGTGAGCTGGAAATACGTCATGTCAATGTCTGCATTTAACTCTGCCTTTGGAAAATTTAATTTAAAATCTTGGTCAATTCCTTTCGCACTTCGACAAAACAGCCAAAATGAAACAATAATTTCCTTGCACTTAGTTCAAAGAGCTATGGGAATAGGCCCAAGGGAGACTGCATATGTTTGTAGGTTTGCTTTAGCCCCATCTTTTTAAAAAACTGGATACAATTTTTCAATCTCTACTTTTGTATACTTCAATATTTACTAATTAGAATTACTGAACGGCTTGTGGTAGAATCAAGTCCTCTTGCTTTCAGAATAGCTGTTGCCAAATTGTAATTGTATAGCAGATGTTTTGCAGATTTCAGCATTATTATCCTTACTTCTGGAACAGTTGAAGGATATTCCAAAAAGCAGCTTGAAGGATATTCCACAAAGTGGTATTTTATTGATTTTGGTCTTCTTGATTTCTTTATCTCTTCTCATCCTGATATCTTCGTATCATTATGACAAAAATGCATATTAGCCTTTTAATAAAAACATTTTTACAGTTTGGAATTCTTGCTAGCATCCAATAATATATACATTTATGCCTCAATAATTTAAGTAAGGAAGCAATCCTCTTTTTCTGTTGATTCAAAAACATACACAACTGGATTATTGTGAATATGGTCACATAGTTCAACCAATAGTGGTTCCTTCTAGATTTGCACACTTTTCTATTTTCTTCTTACACGTTTTATCCAATAATTTCCTTATGATCTTTGTTTTGCTCTAATAGGCTGCATCCTGGCAGAGACTATATTGTATCAACGATGTGTTCTCATCCGTACTTTGCTGCATAAAGTGACACTGTTTTCATTAATTACCTCTTGCTGTAATCTGTTATCATAAATTTATCTCTGCCTATTTGTGGATAGTAGAATTTTATTCTTCTTTTTCCAGCTTTTCTTTTTTCAAATATTTTTTCTGACATATTTGATGTAATTGAAACATTTTTAATCAGGTAATTCTAAAATGGTAGGCACTGATGTTATGATTGAAAATGGTGTGTGCAGTCAGTTATCAGAGTCCTGTATAGATTCTCCTAAATAAAAAAAAAAGCATCATTAGTACTGTGGTCTTTTAAATCATATTCTTTGTTATATGCACTAATAATGTGTACTTACTGTATAAAAGGAATGTGCATATTTTTATTTCAATTAAATAAAAATGGAAGTACTGATTGGTTTTATTTACACACAATTCAAAAATTTAAACCAACCTCAAAACAGAGAAAAGTAAACAGTCCCAATTTTGAAAAATTACGACAACAGTATTTACTGACCTGAAGGTCTTGCATGTGCAGACTTGACTCGTTTTGCTTTCCAGTTATCTTCAAAGAGGACCAAGCCTCGTGGCGTTTCATTTGGATACTCAGGGCTTGCATTTCTTTGTTACACTGTTTGCATTTTGTGTGCTTGCCCATCTTATTTACAGATATAGAAACATAATTAACATATTCCCAAATGTGATCCATTTACTGCCTGCTGCTATAGAAAGTTGCTTCTTTTATTATTTTGTCAATAAATCTCAAATAGATCTATAATTAAAATTAGAAACAGATCCCCCAGGAACCTAGAAGTAATTTCAGTTGAATTTGTTTACTTTGTTTCTCTTCCCTATCCCTTATATATACATATATATTTGATAGATTCTGCCTAAATTCAACCCACCCTCCCAAATCCTCTGATCACTGCCTTTCTTGTCTTTTACTGAGGGAGAGGGGTGAGAAAGATTTGATATGTTTGTGCATGAACATGGGAACTCGTCTCCCTGTAGCATTGTTAGCTATGCTATTCAGAGAATACAGAGTATCATCATGCTGAAGCTATCTATGTCCTAATTTTTTTTAAAAAAGTACCCTAATTTTACTTATTTATATAATAATGTACATACTGCCTCCTAAGATTGTCTGTAGTAAAATTGATGTCATTTACTGGGGTGGGGAAGAGGAATATATTCAAAGAAAATGTTTACTTCTTGGGTATTTTTCCCTCCAAAGAAACCCATACCTATACCGGCCCAATACAAAAAATAATAGAAAATTTCTTCCATAAAATGTTAGGTCCAGGATTTTGGTTCATACTATATTCCCAACACCAAGCCAGCTTATTTTGAAGAGGGGTTAATGAGGGAGTAGAAGATGCAGTGGTTAAAATGACCCAACATACCCAAAGAAATGATATGAAAACAAGGACACTTGGTTTAAAGTTAGTAGTCAAATTTTCCAAGGACGTCCGTTTTTTAAATACTAAATAGCCAAATAAGTGTTTTTAATGACCTCCTTGAGCTAACCCGTATCACCAACAGGATCCAAATTAGTGTTTATCATTTTTGGTCTGTAACGTCACTTGGTTCTTGGCTACTAACCTTTCATGTTATTCTTGGATTTGTCAGTTTGCTTGCCTGTGGGGGTTTGGGTTTGCTGCCCCTGCCCACTGGAAGAGGCTGCCTGCTGTGCGGCTTTCTGCTTTAACATTGTCCAGTCAAATGTGTAGTCGTATTGATGATTCAGGGTCCTACAGAGGGTACAATTTAAAAAGTAAGAAAACCATCACTGAGATATAATACTTGAATTGCTGTTGCATAAGCAGCTTTAACTGGCATTCAAAATGCAGCATTTTGTAAAACAATGAACATGAGGCAGGGTGATGGTTAATAATTAAAATCTGCTTGCAGCAACTTTCAAGGTCCTCTGTACTTCTAAAAAAGTACAGCTTTGGCTCAAGTGGAAAGAGTCCCATGCATAAAGTCTATAAAGCCCTTCCAACTGATTAATAGGGGAAAGGGAAATACCAATCTTCATTCCCATTTCTCTTTTTTGAGTTGAACCCTGCACTAAGTCCACAGATAAACTTCTGCAATTCTGCAAATGACCACGTATGACTATTGCGATCTTAATCAGTCACTTTAACCTCCTCTGCAGTCAACATTAATTTTGAGCAAATTCAGCACTGAAAAAAAAATAGATTCACTAACAATTACAGCACAGTACTAATTTCAAGTGTAGTTTATGTTGAATTGACTAAATTATGATATAACCAACCTTTGTAGACCAAAGAAAATACTTCCTAAAAATGGTTGTTGCAGAGTACAGCTTGCTTAGTTCCAAATGGCTGACATATACCAATATAGCCAATCATAAAACAGACATCACAGCGGAATAAGAGGTAGGCTATCCAGACACAAAATCATTTTGATACAGTATCAGGAAAGGATCTCTTCCCAATGAAGTCTATTTCTAGTATATCCAAATTTCTTTTACGTATTTTTATATTTTCAGCCAAACTTCTAGAATGATAAGAATGTTATCTAGCCAAGCTAACCATGTGAACAACCATTGTTGTTAAAACTGTTCTATTTGAATATTCAAGAAGTATCCTACAAGACCAACCTGAAAAGGATACGGAATAGCTGCCTCAGATACATATAATCAGGAGCTTCTTCAAAGCGCAGGCCACGGCAGTAGTTCAGGTACATTGCAAATTCTGCAGGAAATCCCTGTAAACAGAAGAAATCAACGCAAGAATTGGAGGCAAAATCCCCACAATTTTTATACTCAGAAATTCAGTTCTATATCATTATTTTTTAGAAAATGGTAAGTAACGGACAAAAGAAAAAGTGACACTAAAATTAAAGATAGATCAATTATAACTACTGTAAAGACAGTTCCAATAATACATGCAGTTAAACATCTATATAATATTAATTTTACCTTCCAAAATTATTGGCTTATTTACAAAAGAAAATATGATTCATTATCAGAGAATTAAAATTTTAAAAACAGTTTGTACCTTACACAAAACTTCAACAGGAGTAGACATCTTCTTTTCACTAATCTTTTCATATTTCTGCTTCTTTGTTGCAGCCTGCAGAAAATATGTATATATATAAATCAGCTTGATTTCATTTAGGGCCGCTTCAGGGTTGTTTGATCGGGGTGGGGGGTGGGCGTGGCCAGCTTGACATCACTCATGTTGGGGGTGCCTGTGGTGGCCCGAGCGCTCTGCCAGTGAAAATGGAGCTCAGGAGGGCCACATGCGACTCTCCCAAGCTCTGTTTTTGCTGGCAGAGGGTTGCAGGAGGCTGTTGCAGCCGAAAATGGAGCTCGGGTGGACAATATGCAGTCCTCTTGAGCTCCATTTTTGCTGGCAGAGCCACTGTAGGCTGTCCTTCACTGTTTCCAGGGCGGCCCCACGGGCCAAATCTAAGCACCCCACGGGCTGGATCTGGCCCTTGAGTTTGACATCCCTGATATAAATGGAACAATGCTACCCTATTTTTCGCACCATAAAATGCACCTAGGTTTAGAGGAGGAAAACAAGAGAAAAATGTATCAGGCGGAGCCTGAGAGGACACAGATAGGTGTCCTCTCATATGCCAGCTCTGCCTATTGACTCCTGCATTGCGGAAAAGAGACAGAAGAGGCGGGCAATGACAAAGACAGAAGAGGCGGGGTTCAGCACTGTAAAAGGACTACCCCGCCATAGCCCAGCTGCTATTCACCAAAGGATCAGCAGTTTCCACCCACTTTTGGGGGAGGGGGAGTACATCTTATGGAGCGAAAAATACAGTATTTTTTTAATTATCATAGATCTAAAGGAAATTACCAAGTTTCAGAATTCACTGGAAAAGGAATAAAAATCTTTATTACATGCTTTACTCCAACTTAATTAGCTCATGATAGGATTATATGGCTGTTTCTAGTATTTTTCCTATATAGTCAGATTATGAGTAAATTATAGATATCTCATAATGCTCTTGGTATTAGATTGCACCTGATAGCTTAACACTGCCAGCACAAATTGCTTACTGCCATCAATATACTCAAAATCATCATCTGAATTATATAATTTCTTAAGAAAGTACCAACAGATTTCTATCTCTCTCACACATATTTGTACATTATCTCAATGAATGTGTGTCTGTGCATGCATATCTCTCATTTTTTAAATCATAATACACCATCTTGAAGATGGAAAGGCTGCAGTACTTTGAGCAAGGCTTGAGGATAACCAAAGTTCTCTGGACAGGGCACACTTTTCCATAACTTTTCCAAATCATTATTCAAACTGCACATTGCCCTTTAAGGCTATCTCACCCCTAATGTCTTTCTCTGAGCATCTTCTAAGGTATTTGTCAGAAATAAGCAAATAAAAGAAGCAGCCTAGACCATACTCAGTTTAGACCTATGTGTAGGGTGCCATATCATGCCAGAGATTCTATCTATTCCATAGTATCTGAATTACAAATAAACAATATTGTGCTTCTTCATCCAATATTTTAGTATGGTCTTTTACAACTCTGTATGAAGTTTTTAACATACCTTTAATCCTTGCCACGGCAGGCTGGTTCTGTTAAAGTACATCAATACATATCCTAATGACTCCATATCATCACGACGACTGAGGAAAAAAGTTTTATGTGCTTACTCATACATTGCATAGCATCACTTCTCAGGTCACAATAAGTTATGAAAATGAACTGTCAGTAAAATGTGCAACACACTAATATGCAACAGTAATAAATAAGATTCACCAAATTTATTTGGAGAACTGTAAAATGATGCGTATCTTATTCCTTCTAATTCTTGTTTTTCTTAAAGATGGTATACCGTTTCCCCCAAAATAAGACATCCCTGATAATAAGACCAATTGGGCTTTTGAGCGCATGGCAATAAGGTCAAATGCTTATTTCAGGGTTCAAAAAAAATATAAGACAGGGTCTTATTTTCAGGGAAACATGGTAGCAATACACTTCAAATTTTAGCAAACTGCTTAACTATTACAGAAAACTGCATACCAGTTTTCCTGGCATATTCAATTTTCTATTTTGCTATTTTTCTCCTTATCAAATGCTAACTTCTAAATTTTGGTTTATCTTGGAGTGTTATCAACTTCCTGACTCGATCCTGCCGGATTAGAGGCAGTTAACCCTTTCCTGACCACTGTGCCCTCGCTTCCCTAGAATAAAATAATAATCAAGCATTTTTTTATAATATATATATTTTATGCAAAAATAACTATTAACTTTAGACTTCAATGATTGCTGAAATTGTTTTCCCTTATTTTCCAATCATTTTCTACTTTGGTCAACAACTGTGTGTAAAACAAGCTCCAAGAGCTCCATTCAGCCCCATATCTATCTTGATAATAGTACAACAGTGAGATCATGAAAGCATGAAAATTGTGTAGGCATAATAGGAAAGCACATAACAGCAAAACTGTTATGAACAATTCTGATTCTTATTCTACATAAAATATAATTGAAAATATTCAAAAGCTAAATTTAACCATATGAATTTTGAAAATTTATGATAAAAATACTGATTCCAGAAATAATCCAATTTTTATGCTTGATGACTGACACTATAATGCCAACAAAGGCATCAGAAAACATGCTAAGTCCAAAAGTATATGTTAGAAGAAGTTGAACACAATTTAAAAATTACAAACTATCACCAGAATGAAGGAAAAGGTATTGATTCACAAATTATGAAATGTGTATGAAAACTCTTGGTCTGTTAAGGAAAAAGTTAACTTCACCTGAAGTACTGTATTTCAGAGCTGAGAATCTTATTAGATATAAATTAATACCATATACATAAAAAATAAATTATTTTAAAAACAGCAATCTCTCCAGAGGATAAGAACAAAGAAATCTTAAGTTTTAAGTCTTTAAGAAATAATTTTAACTTTGAGAACATATGCTATTTGTGATGCAAAGTTTTTCCACTTTTATTTAACATTGGCATTTTGTAGGAACCATATAAGGATGGTTTTATGTTGGGTATCCACTCTGCTGTTAACTAGTTATATCAAATGACTTTATTTGTTAAGGCAACATGTATAAAAATGTATCTGTCATGGATATTTTGGTGTCTATAAGCTACACAATATTTGCTCTATTGTAAGAACATTTAAATTAATTTTCCTTTTTTTGTCATAAAATAAGTATTTAAGTTCCCAAATATTATGGCACTGGTAGAAAATGTGTGGTCTTCCCAAAGTTACTAAACTATAATTTCAGCCTCTTAATCTGATAATTGATAAGGGGCATTAGCAGCAATTCAGAAATTTCTGGAGTTTAACTTTTTACAGTTCCTAATCTAATTACAGAAATTGCTTGGATACTTACCTCTGTTCAATGCCAAGATGTGCATTAATGCTTGCATATCTAGCTGTACCAGTGAGATTTTTGTCTTCTCTATAAGGTATGTGTTGCCTTGTTCTGTTGTCCCGATACTTTTTGGCCAACCCAAAGTCAATAAGGAATAACTTTAAAATAGATAAAATAGATTCAAATTTCCAGATGGCATTTGGAAATATCATCAGAACTTTTAAATATATGCCTAATAGATAATTCAGACCAACAAAATTAAATTAAATTATAATTTAAAGGCAAGGGAAACAAAACCACAACTCTTAATTATTACTTGAAAAATAAAATATAAAATGGACCTATAATTTCTCATCTATTAGGAAAAAACAAATAAAATTATTCAAAGTGAGTTTTACTGCAGAAATTGTGGATTGTATTACTTTCTTATGAATGTTCTATATGTTGGCATGCCATTAAAGAGACTGTAAGGACTGGAGAGAAATAAAATATGGTAAAATAAATAATTAAATAAAGCTAGGCCACATAAATGTTAACATTTTAACATTTTCTTATTATATACAATTTTATGAAACTGTTTTCAGTTAATTTCTCAAGTAATTTTGCTTTTCTGCCACTTACTGCTATCATTTGTTTCTACTACACTGAAGCATTCTTTTATATTATCAAAAAATATCTGAATATGTGAATTCAAGACCAAAGTGTCACAGAATAATTTATTTTATATTTTACTAATTAAAGGACTATCAAATTTAACTAAAATGTTCAATTATAAATAAACTGAAAATTGTTAGATGTTGCAGATTAAAAGTATAATAAATCAGTTGTCTAATAAAAAATATATATATTTTGTTCTGTAGAAAACTAAGACTAGACTAATGGAGTAAGACAATTTTTAAGAGTTCATTTTAGGAAGTGTACTAAAACTCCTAGTAATTCCTGTACATTTTTCGCAAAGTATCTAAAGCTAATACAGAAAAAGAGATTTTTAAAAAAGGAGAAAAAGTGTTTCCTAAAGTAAAAGCACCAAATAATTGACAAAACTAAAATTTAGAAAACAACTGAAAACAATAATTTAACAGATGTTCAGGTTACTAGTGTCTTTAAGGAACATTTTATTATAAGCTTGTTTAATAAACAAGCAAGTAAATAAAATAGTTGTTGGGCCTTTATAATTTGCCATAGTGAAGAAGTTTAGACGCAATGAGAGGAAGAAAGACAGCATTTAAAGCAGGGTCAACAGGCATCATTACACACCAACATTTCTCTAATAAAACTTATTTTTAAAAATACATCTTAAAAGTTAAAAAATGATAAACATTTACTGAGTTCTCAAGCACAAAAACTGATTTGGATATCCCATGAGATTTTGCTCTTAAAAGTATTAATTTTGAAGATCAATGAGTGTTATCCTAGTGTGTCGCAGGCATAATACTGTTGACTCCTGATTTAAAGTTAACTGAACACTTGTGTTTATGTTATAGGTGAATGTGGATGGATAACACTTAACCATGATAGATGACCTGAAAACAGTACAAAACACAGAATACCTAGTTGATTCAAATAAGTAAACCTTATAAAGTTGAAATATTAGTAGGCCAATTAGTATTTTATGAGATCCTTCTCTTTATTAGCACAAAGCAGGAAAGACATTATGATTTTTAAAAAAGTATTATAAAAGAAGTTGACAATATAATTTTCAGATATTTATTTTCTCTTTCCCATCTCTGATTTGGACAAATGCAAGCAGGGCCGGATTTTCCTATAGGCTAACTAGGCTTCAGCCTAGGGCCTCAAGATCAAGAGGGGCCTACATTCAAATTGTTAGCAAAATTAAAATTACACTTTCACTATAGGTGAAAGGGCCTCATAAGTGGAATAGCCTAGGGCCTCTTTTCATCTAAATCCGGCCCTGAATGCAAGGTATAGAAAGACCACGCTCTTATAAAGCACTGGATAGATTATGGCAAGGAAATAACTCTGCCATGTAACTTTTCCATGATGATATATTCTTACAATCTCAAGACACCAAAGCCATGCTTCATTAAGGGGAAAATAATACTAGGGAGCAAAGTTACCTAGCAACATAATAACACTCCCTCTTAAATTGCTTTGGTTGACAAGTAAGGATATTACTTTTGAGATTAGATATAATACTATTCCACCCAATAAACCACACTTCTCCAAGCTACTGCCTTTACATCTTCCTAATTTACTCCCCCCCCACCCGCCAAATGAATGCCTGCACGAATCTTTCTGATTTAGTTTCAGAGTAAATAAGGAAACCCAGTCAGAACTGGAATGATAGACAGAGAAGGGAAACTCAATGATTCCAGTCTGAATCTGGCAAAGTGCTTCTGCTGTTTACACTGGAATAAGGGCTCTTATTTGTACTATTCTATTCTCCAAGATAAAGCACATTTTAACACAAAAAGGATTTTGTTATTTATAGTACAAAATATATCTATTTTATATTTAGCTAAATCAATTTTAGAACAAGAAGTATCACTTCCTTGTTTATTAGCATAGGACACAGTCTTCACACTGGCTCAATTATTATGTGATACAAAAACATTTCTGGCATGACCTGATCAAGCCAAATGTTTCTTAATAACTCAATGAGTATTCATGTTTACCCTTCTGCTTTCTATCTCACCCCCATACAATAAAGAAAAGGACTTCAGCCAACTTTATTTTTTAAGGTTTTTTTTTACTTCAGGTTCAGTTTTTCAAAAAACTTTTATTAAATACAAACTGATGAACGTGCATGTAAACCACGATTAAACAATCCAGTTTAAACAGCTGACTTGTTAATCTCTTATTCTTCTGCAAGTAGCCTATGACAATTGATATCAGTCTTCTAACATTCTCCTTCTCTGCAGAAAGATATATTATAAAAATCTAAAATCCAGCCTGGGGCTATATTGAAGTTTGAATAAGTTCCAATGTTATAAATTAGATAGGTACTTTAATTTGAGCCACAATACAGCATAAAAGGACGCTGCATATAATGAAAACTATTCCAATTGCCACATTTCTAAATTCATGGGCCCAAAGTATCTTAATAAAATTAATGTTTAATAAACAGCTGTTTAAGGAGCTAAGAAATCACTAAAATTTAGTAAAATTTTAATACGATACAATTACTTTAGTTTTTTTATCTATTTTTGATCAAAATTTTGTTTGGGGCGACTCCCAGCCTGGCAGCATCCCAAAAACAAGTCTAGCACCTGTGGGGATTGGGGAGGGTGAGGGGCGCCGAAAGGGGCCACCCTCCAGCTCAAATCCGTGGCCACGGAGAGCTCTCCCTCGCTGCAAGCAAAATAAATCCAAACAAGCCAGAAATTGAAAAGGCAAAGAAAAAAGGAAAATAATAATAATAAAAAAAACTATCCAGGGATTCTAAGCTCAGTTCTAAAGCTCTGGCGCTAAGAAATTACGTCCATAGCTGAGACTGAGTTGAAAAAACTGAAGAAGGTCACCAGGGAGGCGGACTTTCAGAAGTTTCAACTCAGTCCATAGAGCTCGATTCTCCCCATCTAAAATGCATTTTTCCCAAACATACTGATTGCATTAATGAAGAGGGAGAGAAATCTCATCAAGACCTATTAACAGACCATGCACTCACAGGCATCTCTAATTCTTCACAATACATTCTATATTCTCCTTGTCATATTTCAGAACACAGAGCTACTCTTCAAGGGTTAATACAAAGTTTGGGCCTTTATCCTTAATCATATTAACATGGATAAAAGAAGAACCTTTTATCTTATGACAGTCACTTAGTAATGTTACATGTTTGCCAAGTATGTCTGAATAATGCCAACATAAGGTGCTTTTTGCAAATCTACATGTTTTCCGAAATAAAATAAAATGCATATGAGTTGGGATTGAGGTTGGAATAGAGACAGTTTCAGACCTGGTTTAATCCTGAGAAAGATGGGTCCTGAGAAGTACTAACAGTCATGCTTCTTTTCCTCTTCCCCACTGGAGATTCTAAACACTGAACAAACAATAGAGGGTGGCAGTGCATCAAACAGTATTGCTTACATTGCAACAATGGCTGGCGCAGACAGGCAACACCGAGGCGTTAGAGAAAGAATAGGGTAGCCAAATGCCATCCTTCTTCCACCAAGCACTACAGTTTTCCAAAGGAGAATCGTATGATACAGAAAAAATTTAGATGTGGCAAGATAAATTTGAGCATGCCACTTTAAAATGACACTGCCTTGAACAGGGATAGCAATGGCAATATTTGGCTTAATAAAAAGTAATTTTGGCTTTTACATATGTACTGCCCTTCCCCCAAACAACATGTGGGAAATAAATCTTCAGTAAGGAAGAGGTAGAAGGCATTTAGTCACCTTAAGTTCACTTTCGTAAGCATGCAGGGCTTATTGTAGGAGAGGCTCAAAGAAGATCATATTAGGAATAAGACAATTCCTAACACATAACATTTAAAAATAAATTTTAGAAATACAGCATTCCAAATTTATTGCCTATATTTTAGTTTATTATGAACATAATTTATTGGAACATGATTAACAAAACAGCCTCACCAACCATACCATGGTACAATGGACATGTGATACAAAATTCATCTGTATTTTTGGTAAAAGGATGAAAACCATATTAATGTTTAAAGAAACTGCTGATTTCACACTTTTAAAGCTTTAAATTCTGTGTGGATTAAACAAAGGGGGTTATAATCTTATGTATAGGATTATTTGTAACATCGAATGAGTATCTAAAATTTAATGCTTGTCACTCTTTATCTAAATGGCTGATAGGACTGAAAAATGTGGTCCTTTTTTTCATCATCCAACGTGACTCTTAATAAAAGTCACCTAACAAAGCACAACATTTTTCAGACCAGATTTCCACATCAGAAGAAAACAAAGTGTTGCAATGCCAGCTCACTATAACTATCAAAGTATATGGAGAAATGGCCCAAAAAGAGAAGAAATATCAAATCAAGACTGGTTTAATTTTTTTCTAGTTATACTTCCAGTTCTTGTCAGAAAATTAAAGGACTGCATTAAAGAAACAAGAATGTGAAATTTAGAGATAAGGTTCAATAGAAATAGGACTGACAGTGTCTTTTAAATTTGACTTTTGCAATTTCTTCTCACCCCAACTCCCCAAAGTTGTTTAATGCTTCACTGAACGCCTTTAAAGCAGAATTCAACAGGTTGTTTGTTGTTGGTTTGATTTTGCTCTCAAGTAATGGCTCCAAGTTGGCATTCATACAGGCAAACAAAGGTAACATTTTGTAGCTAAAAATATTGAAAAGGTAAACGCTGATGGCTTATGAAGAACCAATCTGTATGGGAATATTGCTGCCAATATATTCAGTTCACATACATTTCCCCAAACTTCAGAATTTCTATTTAACAGCATGCTTTAAATGCATTGCCAATGCTGCCTGTCTGCTCGAGCTCAATGTAAAGTATCACAAAGTTTACTCTCGCAAGCTAGCCAAGAATATTTCCAACCAAGTTTCAAAAGAAAACATGCATTTCCAACTCAATTTCTATCATCCCCTTCTACCCCCATTTAAAATCCAATAAAATATTAAAATTCAGTAAGCAAATGTTAACCTATACCTACCCATTAACTGCATTCTGAACTTACACAGGCTTGTGATTGCACAGAACGCAGTTGCATAAACAAAGCTCTGTAGTATTACAAACCAATATTTCTTTATAAATTGATTCTACTCAATTAAAATCTAGATAACTGGAACTCAAGAATCCACCATGCTAGTAAATACAGCAAACAATACAAAATCCCAGTTTATGGCAAGCTGTGCTACTGTAATTCATTAATTTTGAATAATAGGATATTTAGGATATCCTAAATAGGATATAGAAGGAACTTGAGTATGCAAAGAAATATAGGTTATGTAAAATACCGATTTGCTAAATTAAGGTCTGAACAAAGGCAGATATCATATGATTTGCTTGCAGTAATATGACTGAAAATCTCATCTCTTGATGAATACTATTAACCAATAGCTAACTCAAGCAGCACAACTTTTCAATAAACTGTATTTTATGATAACTTTTTTCATGCAAAAAAAGTATTAGACTGACCTTATTACAGTGACGTCCGATACCCATTAGAAAGTTATCTGGTTTAATGTCTCTGTGTATAAAATTCTTTGTATGCACATATTCAATTCTACTGATCATCTGTAAACAAGAAGAAAATTGGTCAAATGTAAAAGCATTTCAGGTATGATTTCAATAATAATCTGCCCTATAATTCAAAAATGTTTGCATCAATCCTATTACCTGAAAATAATTTAAACCAGTTAATAAACAGACTCAATGTTTTGTAAATGAATGCTTTTCAATATCAGATAATGAGAAAAGGAACACTATCTTATGGAGCTATCATCAACACTGCTAAAAGTGGAGATACAGCCTAAGTAAATTAAAGGACCAGTCCACCTCAACATCTGGCTGAGTGTCTATATGCTAGTCTAATATCTTCCTGTGGAAAACAGCCTTCCCACAAAATCAGTTACTTTCACTCTGGGCACCTTGCAAAAATCATGTCTAGTTTCATCTAGCAGATGTCTGAGCCTGATGCTACAAAGGAATCTTGCTGTAGAGGAAGGTTACTTCAGTGTGAAAGTTATGTTGGAACTAGGATGGAGCAGAGCTGTTAATGTGGGTAATTAGACTGCTAGTTCTATCACCCGCTATGTGTGAATAGGCAGCAATATAATAAATAAATGAATGAAGGAATGAAGGAAGGAAGGAAGAAAGGTAGGTAGGTACAGGAAAAATTAAGATTGGGAAATGGCTTGGATGCGTGCACACTCAAAGTAATAGGTAGTAGGAAAAGATACAGGAACAACTCCAATTTTATTACATGTATTGGACTAGAGGCTTCTCTTCAAATTATCATCTACCCAAAGATATCAAGGTGACAATGAAGACGATTCCTCTAAAGAAAATATCCAGCTCTTAAGTGTCACATATCTGTTGTTGCTTAAGCATTTATTATCCAGAACTGAATTTTATTGAAAGCACTGATTTGGCATGTATTATTGAGACTTAGCTGACAGAAAAGGTATTCATGGGATAGGACAGGTGGGCATAGTCTGTAGCAAGGATAAACAACACGTGACTCTTTTGCTCTCTCTCATCATGACTGCAACTAATAATGCAGCTTCCTACCATTTTGAAATGAAAGATTCAAGCTTCCAAATTCCTCTCAAAATTTTGCCTCATGAATACAAGCAAGGTAACCCATCCATTTCATGGCCTTCAACTGTCCCAAATGTTTTGTTATTATGGATTCTCTGTGGTTTGTAAATATCACAATGTAAACAAAGTATATCTAAATCTTGCCTCTCTTGGTTTAGCAAATCAATCAGGGCAGACCCTAATGCCAAATTTCAAGAGACACTTATTCTTGCCTAAAACATGGCGTTACTGGACTATCCTTTTGTACAATAGGCTCTGGCAATAGTTTCTGGATTGTTTTAATTGGAAATTGAATGGATGGAGTTCTATCATTGCTTCTTAACCATTCAACTCCAAGAACCATTCAACTTCAAGTACCCTTGAAGCACACCCAATTCCATATAATGTGGTAGATGAGAACAAGCTGGAATTAAATTAATACAAGATAGAGATAACGTTGATAAACAGGAAATACTATGATTAAAATTTAGCCTATTTAGGATGGAATTGCACTCCCACTTGAAGTCCACAATCTAAGAACTCTTCCTTGATCCTTAGTTGTCACTGGATGCAGAATTGGAAGTGAAGAGCTGTCAGCTTTTCTTTTCTTTTTTAAATTTTTTAAAATTTTCTTTTAATACAAAACATTCCATCATTCATTAAACAGTGTGACATCTGGGTACAATTTTTTTGTGTCATAACAGTTAAAGCTTACCACCATATTCATTATTTATATCTACTCTTAGTTTACTATTAATACTTAATATATCTATTATCATAACATTTTGAATGGTCAGCTCTTCAAGGTACTTCAGACAAGAAACACAAATCAAGAGTATCAGCATCACCTTTTCTGTAAGGTTATAACAGAACCTTAAATTTGGAAAGCACTTCTCCCCTCTTATTTTTATTTCCTAGGGAGAGTCCATTCTGAGAGTGCCCTCTTTCCTTCTGTGGGGTGAGACATCTTTTCTGCTCTCTTTTCTTCTGTGGGCCAAGACATCTTTTGCATGACCATTGTCACAGCTGTGCCTTTTTCTCTTGTCTCTCAAGGTTATTCTCACAGACCATGACAAGATTGCATTTACACAATTACAGTTGTTGGACTAACTGTAATCCCTCTTGATTTTTTTTTTTTTTTTTTTGCGGATATCCATGTTACTTCCTATCATGACCGCTGATTTTTCCCCCCACTATGACTATTTTTGAAAACTGCCCAGAAGTTGTAATTAATACAATGCTACAAAGTACATGGAACACATGATGTTGGATTGAAAGATTTTATTGGTTGCTGTTTTCTTACTAAATGCAGTTTAAGCTATTATTATTAATCAGATATGTATAAAATCTAAATGGAATATTCAGGCAGCTCTGAACTCTGCTGTTCCTCTGGATCACACCAATCTCAATTTAGTCCAACAGTTTTCCTGAAGTAAAACTGATGAACTGGAAGTAGTTTATGCTGTTCTTAACAAACTAAAGTTGGATTATATCTAGATCTAGTGTGATCCAAAGAAAGAGGAAAATTCTACACTTCTCTCCAGAGATGTCTATTATTCATATTCTTGACATTAATCTTTAAAGTCCTGAAAGAGCTGATGATTATCCTGTCTTCCAATAAAATCTGCTGAATAGGATCTTCTGAAGAAGTTCTTAAATATATTAACTATTTGATGTGTGAAAGAGTGTCTTCTATATTGCTTCATGGCCTACATTTAAAAGATCCACTGAAACATTTTGCTAGGTTTTAACAGTTAATTTATTAATTTTCATATGTTTTAACTTTCTGGATTGCAAAATTTGTTTCTTGTCAGCATTCTTGGATATCTGCTCGAGTAGAAAAGCAGAATATAAAACAAATATATAATGTTAAGAGCTATTTGTTTATTCTATAGAACTAAAACATACTGTTTCTCTCATAAAATTCTTTAATCATTTTGAGCCTTTCTTATGTACAAAATGAATTCATATTATTGACCATAGAAAAACAAGTTATTGTTATTCATGTCAAGTCTACGTACTGCTCTATATTAAAAGAACTTAAATTTCTGTTATTAACCATGTCATGTTAAATGATCAATACCCTCCTATAGACCTATTGCAGAATTTTTAAAATAGGGGCATCTGTGGCCTGCATGCATCCTCCCATTCTCAACTCTGCAACTATACTTCCAATTCTCATCCTCAAAATAATGTAGTTAAACTTGGTAACATAGTAGCAAATTTGTTTTCCCACAGAAAATGAGTTTTTTAAAAGCAAAGTATACCTCTGATTGGAATATTTCATTTAGAAAGAATGAAATAGTAATAGCAGAAATAAATTGCTATTCAACAGGTATTCTTCCGTAATTGCAAGCAGCAGTATCTTTGAAATGTTTGCATTATATTCTCGTAGTTGAATCTTTATACAAATATGCTTCATTGAAGGACTGAATGAAAATCGTGGTTAATTTTTCTTCTTTAACATTGCTTCAATTTACCATCTTTTATTTGGCAGTTACAATCACAAAAGCATTTTGGCACAGCATGGTATACAATATATGTTAATGGAGTTCTAACAAACCAAGTGAGATACAAAAAGGACAAAGCAAGGCTATCCCTCTCTGTTTATTTATTGCTGCTTGGAAACCACTTATATTCATTTGCACAAAGCAGGAAAAAAAAATGAACTTATGATTTATGGTTTTGACATTAGAAAAAATAGACAACAGAAAAAACCAGCTTTTTTTTGTAACCACTGAGTAAGAGGTAATTTTGTAATTGTACTTATATTTACTGTAAGGAAAATCAGAATCTACTACTTTTTCTTTTTATTCTTTTTGCATGGGTCTCTTTTTCTTTAATTTATATTAGTTCTTATTAAATTTTCTTTTTAAAACCCTTAAAGCTTTTATAAATACAAGAGATATAGCATAGTATTATTGCAGCTATTCTTTTGAATTTAAGATTTAATACAACAAATAATGTTAAATATGAAATAATACACTCTGTATTTCATGATTTGGTCTACAAATCTTGTACTATTCAGTAAATAATCTCCCATTCATAATATTATTTTTTCAGTCTATCTGACTCAAATATTCATCGGCGCACAAATATTATAAAGTCAGTAAACTTTATATGTATTTGAAAACACAAAGCAAACTACATTTCAGGGAACTTCTAGTACTCCTTACCCAAGCAGAGTATTTGCACAATTTACCTACCTGGTCTGCTAACATAAGTACTGTTTTCATTGTGAACCTCCGAGAACAGAAGTTGAAGAGATCTTCAAGACTAGGTCCAAGAAGATCCATGACTAGAACATTGTAATCTTTTTCTTGACCATACCACCTGGAAAGAGACAGAAATCATTATTAGTATTAACCTAGATACAATTGAATAGCATTAATTTGTTAAAGGTGACTTCAATAATAAAATACAGTGTAGTTTTCTTAAAATTTTGAAGAATCTCTTTAAAACCATGCTACTAATTTATAGTGTAGAATATGGTTCCCAATAGCATTCGGTGCAACAGACCAGCATTAACGTTCCACACTGTCTAGCATTTAATCATTAATACACAGTGTCTAATAGTTTTCCTTATTCCTTGTTTGGTTCTGCCTTGCATTTGCCCCTATAAGCAGTGAAAAAGCCAAGAATTATGCATATGCTAAAATATATATACACAGTAGCATGACGATGTTGCAACTTGCATCAATGTTATAATCTCAATCATCTGGATAATTCAATTATTTTATAGATAATCTAATTTTGAATTAGATTAAATTACTTTAAAAACAATGTCAAAATAGGCAAAAGGGTATTTTGTAGTCAGTAGGCTAATTTATTTCATTATCATGAAAAGCAACAATATATGTATAATGACTTAAATAATTCCTCATCCTGCACTGCAAATCACATACTGAATATAAAACCTGCTTATATGTCTCCAAAATCCTTTTCCATTTTATGTTTGTATTTTCAAGTTGAGAAACAATACATCTTCAAAAGTGAAGTCCATACTGCTCCACTCCGCTACAAAAAGCATAGACAATATAAGGTGCTGTATATACTGGAGGATTACAACTACAATTGTCCATTACTGTAGGACAGCAGAGGTCCCGCTACCCTACTACTTTAAAATAAATTTTGAAAAAAGGCAAATAGTAGTAGTGGTAGAATCTGCACAATAGGTATTATTAAGCAGTTGGTTAATGATCAAAAGTGAAATATTTTTTAGAGGTGAAATAGAATTATTTTAATTTAGGCTGTGAAAAATAACCCCAAGCCCTTAAATGGTCTAGCAGGAAGTAAAACAAGGTTTCTCAATCTTTTTTCACCCATGACTTTGTTTTTCTCTTGTGGCTAGTCCAGTCGTATCAATGGAAAAGATTGCCACTTATACAACTGACTTTTATTATTGCCCCTGCTACATATATTTCACTTGTGATCCACTTTAAATATTCTAGCCTTCTCCCCCCCAGCTACCTATCAGAATAGAGTAACAGAATTGGAAGGGACCTTGGAGTCTTTTAATCCAACCTGCTGCTCAAGCAGGAAACCCTATACCAGGGTTCAGCAACCTTTTGGACCTCAGGGACCACTAAATTCATAATTTTAAATCCCACAGACCACTAATATGATCTGCCTAATGACCAGCTGGGTGGGCGTGGCTAGGTAGTCTTGTGACTGGGTGGGCGTGGTCAACTCGATGTCACTCATGTCGTGGGATGCCTCACTGGCCTCTACTTGCCCCTCCCTTCCCAGCCACTCCTCGCCTCTCCACCCAGGCTCCTTAGAGCCCCAACAGGAAGCAGTTGTTGGAGCTAAGCAGCCACCACGAGAAAGAGTTGGCAAAGCAGCTCAGTTCAAATTGGATCTGACCGAGAAGGAGGCTCAGCAGAAGCACCTCACTGAGGACTATGAGAATAGGCTTTCCAAGCAGAGGGAAGACCTGCGGGAGTGCAAGGCCAGGTACGGCACCTGGAGGCTCAGCAAGCTGAGGTGGTCAGTCAGTTCCAGGCCATGATGCAGTCCCACTGGAACAAGGCCCTCCGGCTCTTCGCCACCAGCAGCACTTCCCTCTAGCCTTCGCCCAAAGCCCCAGGAGGCTGAAGCAGACCCCAAGTTGGAATTTCTTCCCCCCTCCAACCAACACAAGAAGACCCCGAAGGGGGAGACTCTGCAGCAATACAAACAAACGTTCATTGCATGTATCCATCCCAGGGGCCGTAGTTTGAGGACCTCTGATTTAGTGCTATATAAAAAATGCAAATACTTTTTCTACGGACAACCAAAATTTGCTCGCGGACCACCAGCAGCCCATGGCCGCTGGTGACCGCTGCCCTATACCATTTCTGAGAAATGGGTGTCCAACGCCTTTTTAAAAACCTCCAAAAATGGGAGCACCCCACAACTTCTGGAAGCAAGTTGTTCCACTGATTAATTGTTCTAATTAATTGTTCTAACTGTCAGGACATGTCTCCTTAGTTGTTCTAGGTTGGATTTCTCCTTGATTAAATTTCCATTCATTGATTCTTGTCCCACTTTCATTATTAACAATAGCAAATAGTATCCTTCTTTAAGCAGATGAAGTGCTGAAGGCTTCCAGGAACTGCGAAAAGCACCTAAAACAGGGCTTTGAGAGTTAAAACAGATTTAGTGTGAACTGCTTGCCAAATTTGGTTCACATGATTATAGGGATGCTGTAACAGCTGGAACTTTGAAGATCAGTCCCTTTGTTCAGTGCCATCATATCTCTGAACTGTTGTTGAACAAGTAGTTGTAACTCAAGGAACATCTATACAGAAAAACTGATCACAATAACATTTTGTGTTGATGAATAAAAACTGCATGAAGGCTGTAATTTTTGATTAATTACTGCTTCTGTTGTTTGCTCTGGATTGTTTTTAAAAAATATGGCTAAGATATAAAAGCACTGGGGACATATAGGTTCAACTCTATCCTCAGCCACAGATACTCAGGAGAGTCAGGATGATTTCAGGCCAATTAATTTTTCAGACCAATCTATATATAAGATTACTATTATGAAGAAAAATTGGAAGAGAAAACAGGATATAAAATAACTAAATATTTAGATCAACAGACTTAGAAATTCCCAAGATTTGCAGTAATATGAAATATTCCCAGAATGAAGATCAGTATAGTTTCCTCTTGTCACTATCTAAATATGCTCCAAGGCGATAAAAATGAAGAATATAACAGAATAACAGAATATCTGAACAGAAATATTCTATAACCTTTTGATCAAAAGACTCAGAATTGGACTTTTTCAGCACTAGTACTTACTTAACCAAATGATCTTGTTTATTTTTATTTATTTTTATTTTATTTATTTTATTAAATTTCTATACCGCCCTACTCCTGAAGGACTCAGGGCGGTGAACAGCCACAGAATAAAACACATAAATACAAAAATTTAAATAGAATTTTAAAGTTTATAAAAATAGAACTTAAAAATAGAATTTTAAGTTTATAAAAATACAACAACATTTTCCTGATTTAAAGAATGGGATGTAAAGTGGAGAACAAGGCTCCCATCACCTAGCCCTCTACTAGTATTTAAGAGCCTGCAAGCAGGCTCCACATTAAGGTAAAATGTGGCTCGAGCCCAGCATAAGTAAATGTTGATATATGGAAAAATGTTTCCTTTTTGGGAAATAAGAGTTTTTGTTTTCAGAGGTTTTGAGTGCTTTTATTGTTGGTGATTTGGCACATGAAATGGACAGCCATGTATGTCTTTTAAATAATTCAGAAGTTCAAAGTTATAAATGCAATTTTATAGTTATTATAGCTGTTATAGCTCTGTTATTGTCAGATTTTGTAGGGTCCAACTTTTCCAAGTGCAACCTAAAAATGTGACATAAATAATGGTATTTTCCAATTCATTTACTATATAATCCTCTTCCCCCAACTATGCATTATTACACATGCATCTACAAAAATGGATTAATTAAAGGGGTTTTAGAGATAGAGAGATTAAATTCTGGATTCTTTAATCATACAAACTATGAGAAGTGTTCCACCTATCAGCTGTGAAAAGCAGAAGAGGCAAGCTGGATTGAAGCAGGACATTGTTAAAAATGTGAACACAATACACTGTTATTTTGATTGGTTGAATTATATCTTATGATACTATCAGAATTTACTGCTGATTTGGCGGAATTGTTCTGGATTATCACTGAAAAATCCTGGAAAATGAATGAAATAAATCCTGTTCTACGAAGTGTGGATTTGACTCAAAAGAAAGGGGACAAAAAGGTTTGATTGTTGCAGAAAAGATATTTGAGTCTTAGGAAAGTAGAAAACATGAATTAGGGCCAGTGCAGTGACTATATTGATTGTTAGGTAGAGATATGATTACTTTAGGTAGAGATATGAATTTTGTTATTTGAATTTGTATGGCTTCAATTGATTTATTGTTTTATATTTTTAAAATAAAAGCCATCTGGATGTAAGCTATCCAGAGTCTTTATTGGGAAGGACAGCTATGTAAATTTGATTGATAGACGATACACAGGCAATAGACAAGAAGAAAGGTAGCTCTCTAGGCAAAATGAGCGGCATATAAATTTACTAAATAATAGATAAATAGATACTATGATCCTGGTTAGATATTTCAATTGGCTTGGAAAACCAGCTCCTAACTCTTTTGGACATTGGGACAATTTCCAATTTCATCGATATTGATAAAGCAAATACACAGTAATGCCCTAGTATTTATTTAACTGTTCTGTCTTCTTCAGATTTGTCAATGAAATTTCACAGATATATTGGCCAAAGATTTGTAGTTTGTATGGATGATAGTTTTTTTCAGAAGACCATTCTCTACATTCTAAGTATGTCAGGCATGTGTCATAGCATCCATGCAAAACTAATGTTATATGGTACTAAATTTCAACAAACTGCTAACTCAAACTCTGAAAAAAGATTGCCAATATAAGTGGTCTATTCAAAAGCTTTGGTGAAGCGAGAAGATTTATCTTGCAACTTTTTACTTGAAACTCCTTCTGGTTGAGTGGAACTATATTTTCAATAGAGCTACTGGCAATAAAGCAATGTTTCAATAAAGGAGACATTTCTCTGAGGCGGCTACCCATCCAGAATAGGTGCAAACAGGTCACAAGAAATTGGATCATCTACAGCAGGGGTCCCTAATCCCTGGGGCGTGGCCCACTATCAGACTATGGCCTGTTTGGAACCTGGCCGTGCGGTTGTGCAGCTCGACCGATGTGCTGATCAACTTGGGAAAGGGAACTCCACAGAAGCTAAGGACAGGGTGGCAGGCAGAAGAGCTTTTGAACCAGATTCACTTACAAGATCCACTTCTC